ATTGAGGATATATCTAATAATTGACCTTTTATTTATTTCACTATTTTTGTCTTTGTTTCTGTCTTACTTTCTTTAGAATTACGTATTCTATCAATTCATAAAGTCAAAGAATGATTTTACTCTACTCTTATTCATACTTCCATATTTTTGGTATGAATGATAAAATGATATAACTATCTGTTATAATAAAAAGAAAATACCAGTGTTGAGTGAAGTTTATTTTTCGGATTTTAGTTTTTATCTTATTGCCTCATTATTATTATAGTCATTCTGCTTAACTATATTTATAGGTTCGTCTCTAAAATGATATGGATTATTTTGATTGTTTTAATTATTAATTAAACTATCAATAAAATAATTTAATTAACGTTTAAATAATGGGATGAATGAAAATTATTATTCTAATATGTCAATACACATTTAAAATAACACAAAATATGTTGGGAATAAATATAAATAATAAAAAAATGAGATTCTAAATGAGACAAATATTCATACCAACAAATTAAAATCCGTATAAATAATATTTAATGAAGAAATACCAAATCATTAATAATCTCATAAAAATTACATAAAAATACCTTTTTTAATTGAAAACAGAACAAAAAAATTAAAATTAACCACGTAAAAATAATAAAAACCATTTTCAAAATAAGAGAATATTAATTAACGACATTTTTAAACTTGTTTTAAAAATATGAAAAGAAATTCAAAAAATATAAAAATAAAGAGTATTTAAGTAAATAAAATAATTTATAAAATTTAGACAACAAATAAAAACAAAAAATCTCTTTATTGACTAACTTTTTAAATTAATGTGAAAGTTGTTTTAAATAAAAATGTTTTTAGTCAGTTTGAACCAGATCCCAGTGGTGTAACATAATTTTTTGGACGGCATAAATTGCATTCTTTTTCACATCTGGTTGTTCAGAACTAGTTAATTGTAATAAATCTAATTTAATACCTAAGTCATTCATTATTTTTCTTCCAAGAGGATGATAACGAGCAACTTCTCCTAAATCAAAACAAGCTACAGAAACACAAACAGGATCAGCAGACTTATCATTAATAACACCTTTTAACTTTCTTACTAAAGCCCAATTTTCAAGTTCAAAATGAGTAACATTTTCAGTCCAAAATTGTTCTGAACGATGCATTGGACTCCATCTCATTCTTCCAGATTTTAATTCATCCAAATAACATTCCATACTAGAAGTTTCAGTTACTTTTTTTTCTACTATTTCATTAATTTCTTGTAACATTTCAACAATATCATTATCAGAGAATGTACGACTTAATAACATAGGAATAATTAAATTAAATTCATGTTGTACTAATAAACGAACATACCAATCAACATTTAAAAGATTATGAATAATTAAGAGAACTATTCTAATTAATTTCTCTATTTTAATTTTTAATAATACATTTGCAAATATTTGAATAAAATTCTCAGGAAAATCATGTTCTACTAATTTTTCATCAAATGACTGTAACCAAACAATATGAAATAAACTATAAAGAAGTTCATTATCTTGAGTAGCAACAATTTTGTCATGAACTTCTAATAAGAAATTTAATGGAATTTCTTTACTAAATACTGTCCTATATGGTTCTTTATTTAATAAAATATATAAAGACCAATTAAATAAATGAAGTGGTTGATAAGTAAAACGAGTTGGATTAGCAATTGAATAAATTTCACGAATAACTTGGAAATAATCACCCATTATTAATACAAAATCATTAAAAGTACCACAACGAGTAGTAAGAATAGTAAAAACTTCAATACTGGCTTTCAGAATTGTAAGGTTTTCTGTTTTCATTTGTCTAATTAAACGGGTACATAATTCAATAGTTAATTGAATATCAATTTCACTAATTAATGGAATTCTATTGATATCAGCATTTATAAAATCATCAAATAACAATGTTGTATTTTCAATAACACCTGGATGTTCTGATTGATTTAATAAAATATAGAATATTTCTATTAACGATTTTAAATCTACTTCATTCATTATTCTTGCTCGTTCTTCTGGAGCTTGTCTAAGATATAAACTTAGTACTGCTCTTTTTTCATCTGATAAGTTAGAATTATTGTTTATAGCATTATTTAATGTGTCTTCTTTAAAGACTTCGTTGTTTGGTGGAATAACTAATGCAGGTGAGACAAACATATTTACCTGTTTTCTTAGTTTTTTCTACTTCTTTTTTTATTAATAACAATACATTATTATTTTCATCTTTTTACCGCTTTTCTCAGGGTTTTTTCTCTGTGTTTTTGTTTCCACAAAATTAGTTTGCATTTCATTATTTACTAAATAACTTATCATTTTATTATATTTATTTTATTATTTTATTATTTATTAACTATTACTATCCTTTTGATTTTTGTTTCATCATTTCTTGTTTTTGTTCTTATTGCCTGAAAAAATCAAAAAAAAAAAGAAAATCACAAAAATGAAACAGTAAATTGAATTGTTCATGTACATATTTATTTCTTTGTGTGATTATTCTTATTGTGAGGGATGAACAGAAGAATTCCAAGAAGGAGATGTAGTAATATTAAAAGATGGTTCGGGAATTCCAAAATCAAGTGGATCAGAACTACTTAATATATAATCAATATCATTAGTGTCAACTTCTTCTTTGTCATCAAATAAATCAACAGAAACATGTTGTTCTTCTAAATAAAAATTTGTAGGATCAGTTTGATATTTTTCTAATGAACTTCTATAATAAAACAATTTGTCTTTAAACCAATTTTGAATATCAGTAATAATTTCTTCTTTAACCAATTTTGGAGGATTAGCATTAAAATATATATACGAAGAATGATAAAAAATATAGTCAATCAATGCATGAGCAAATAACAAAAATAATGTTGCATTTTCTCTTTGTGATAATAATACACAACCACCAATTAAACTTTCAACTAAATCTCCTTTTTTTTTCTTTTCAAATGTTTTTGTATCTCCTAAATGCAAAAGGTCAAAAATTTCTCCTAAAGTTTGATTTTTAACTGTGTGGATTCTTAACCCACTATACATCTCAAAAGGTATTTGTTCATACTTTCTTAAAAATTTTAATACTAAAGATGATGCTCGTTCTTCAAGATATGAATCTCCATAAAATTCATTTTTTTCATATTCTTGGTCTTGGCTAGAGTATGCTTGGTTTAATTGTAATAAATCATACAAAGGATCTGCTTTCATTAAATTAAGAATTGAAGATAATACATCAAATGCAGTATATTGCATTGCATTGTGTAATGTAGTTGAGCTCATAAGTTTCTATAAAACAAGTTCTAAAAAGGAAAAATTTGATATGAGTCTTTTCTTTTTAATTTTTAAGATTTTTAAAAATAATAATCATTGAATCTAATAATTTGTATTTTATTTTTTATTCATTGTTTAACTTCACAACTTAATAAAAATAACCTTCAAAAATAAGTTAATTTATTGTTTTTAGTATTAGTGTTGATAAGACAGTATGTTGTAATATTCACAAGAAATAGTTTTTTTAAATGTATAATATGTAATGTGGTATTAGCATAAAAATAAAAGTCTTCAAGTTAGTATAGTTGAAATAATAAAGCTTTAGTTCAATTTGTTTAAATAGATTTATTAGTTTTGTGTTTAATATTAATTCAAAAAGTATATAACAAGAAATTACTGTATTTTATCTTAGTCTTTTATTTTTAATAGAAGATGATTTTAATTGATTCATTAAATATGAATTTCATTTAGTCAAATAGAAATATTAAATAATCATATGGAAATTCTTATAAATTATTGAGAAATAAGTTTTGAAATATAAATGATATTTCAGTAGTATTACCAAAGAAAGAGTTATAGTGAAAATAACTAATAAAGAGTATAGATTATAAATTTATCTTCTAAATAATTACTTTAATTTATTTGATTTTTATTGTGAAGTAATTATTGTGTTTTTAATTGTTTTTTCATAATAAAATTTTGATTTTATAGAAAAGGAAATATTTTCTTTTTTGTTATCATTGATTCTCTCTAATAACTCAATAAAAGAATTGAAATTTTAATGTAACACAATTTATGATAGTTCAATTCAATAAAAATAAATTCTCATTTTTTAAAAAAAAGTATTTATTTTTGTTCTTCAAATACAAAGAAATAAGTTTGTTCATTAGATAATAAATAAGAATAACGAAATTAACAATAAAATTAAATACAAAAAATAATAAATAGTATAATATCTTTAAAAATTAAAAGATATTATAAAAAAGAATTTTAAGAATTACTGTTTAAAGTATTTTAATTCTACAAATTGTTGATTTATTTTCATATTTTTAATAAAAACATTGAACTTAAAAAAGATTTAATTGAATGTCATTTAACTATAAAACACCAAATGGAATAATTTTTATTGAAGGAAATGTAGTTAGTTTCAAACCAGAAGAAGGGGATAAAAATGAAATAAAAATTCAAAGTAATATTTCTGCTTCAGTATTAATTGGTGATTTTCCAATGTATGTAGTTGTTGGGTGTGATGATGGAAATGTTATTTCAATTGAATTTCCAAGTTGTTCTCAAACTGTTATTACTCGTAATCAATTAGCCAAAGTAAAAAGTATATCAGCATTTCCTGATACTCATCGTTATTTAACTTTAACAGTTGATGATCAAGGGTCAGTATTGGTTTATGATCATTTATATAATAAAAAAGTTATTTATTCTCCACCATTACCATCTCAAATTATTTCTGTTGAATATTTTTATCCATTATGTGTTATATTACTTTCTTATGCAGATGGAAGAAGTTTTGTTTGGTCTCTTGATACTGGTTCATTACTTTCAACTCTTCAATATTCTGTTCCTCAAGACAGAATTAAGTCAACTATAGTTTATCAAACAATTTAACTCCATTTGTTTAGCACTTCATCTGTTTACTGTTTTGATATCAAAAGAACTTATTTCTCTAATACTAATAATTTACCTAATTATAAGACTTACAAAGACTTAATAATTTAAATTCTTCATCAATTAGAGTTCTATTACTAATAAAGAATAGAGTTTTAATTTTAATGACTTTATTTCTTATCTTAATATTTCCTTCTATTTTACTGCTTTAAACATAATATCTTCTCTTATTAATGTTAATTTCTAAATGTCTTTTATATTTCCCAATCAATCAATATATAAAGTTTTATTAATGTCTTCAAAAACACTTAGACAAACCACTAGAAAGTTAGTGTTTAATTAATAAAGCATTGTTATTCATTTAAAGATATTAACTATTTTAAAAATTTAATTATGGTGATACTTTTTCATTTTTGTTGAAAAAAAAGAAAAAGAAGATTTTCTGTGAGTCTTGTCTTGCAATTAAAATACTTTTTTCTCAATGACATAATTGTATTAAATATATTATTAAAAATCTGCTTAAAATTTAAAGGACGTTTGTTAATATACACAGTAAATTTATTAGTAATTATTTGTTAAATGTATATATCAGTAAGTTTTTTTTTGGAACGTCTTATGTTAAAAAGTCATAATAACTATTTTGATTTAGTTTTTTGTAGATATTGTTGTTTTCTTATTTTAAACTTAGAGAGGAAAGAATATTCATTTCATTTTTTTGATTCTTTTTTTAAGTTTCATTTCAAATCTATTTTGTTTTTGTTTTTTTGATATAATTAAATGATTTTAATTTTCATTACAGAATAATAAAATCTTTACAAAATTTAATTGTATTATTTTCACTTTGAATGACTTAAAATTTATGTTAAGTTCATCTTAAGCATTATTTTTGTTGAGAATTACCAAAAAAATGTTATAGTAAAAAAAGAGACAATAAGTTAAGATATAGTACTTAGTCAGTGTCTTGGTCTGCAAGTAATTCATTAACACGTGCCGATTTTTCATTGATTATTTCTTCGATTCTTTCCATTGAAACATTAGCATCAAACTCAGGGTGATTAGGAGCATCTCCTACTATTTTATACATGTCTTTACAAATATCTCCAAACTTAGGTCGTTCATCTGGTTTTTGTTTCCAACATTCATCAATAAGAGTTTTCAAACAAACGGGGATGGTGTCATCAAATGGAAGTCGTTTTCCACTCTTTACAAAGTCTTTAATTTCAAACAAGGATTTACATTCTTTGTATGGTTCAGTTGCATAAAATAATTCCCATGCCATAACAGCAAAAGAAAACACATCACCTTCAAAAGAATAAACATCATCATATGCCTCAGGTGAAAGATATAATGGAGTACCAAGACCTTTATTTTCGTTATCACAAGAATTCTTCTTTTTAATAATTCTTGAAGTACCAAAATCAGTAATTTTTACAACACAACTACTTGATTCGGCATATAAAGAATTAACTAATAAATTATCAGGTTTAAGGTCAAGATGTACTATTTTATTCTCATGCAAAAATACCATTCCTTTAGCACAATCAAGAAGCATCCTCATTTTTAATTTATAAGGTAATACAACATCTTCAGGTTTTTCATGACGAATATAATCACCTAATGATCCCAATTGGAAATATTGGATAACCATTGAAATTTGTGGAATATAAGTGACTGATCCCATATAATTGGCAATATATGGATTACGTAATTTACTCATTAATTCACATTCATGAATAACATCTTTTTTCAGTATGTCTCTATCATTTGCCGATAAGTTTTCCCATCTAAATTTTTTTACTGCTACAGTAATACTTTTGTATTTACCTACATAAACGGTTCCTGATGCCCCTTCAGCAATTGGTTGTTCTCTAAGATGTAATTCATCCATATCTATATGAGTAGATGATGCAGCTGCAGTTTTAATTTCAAAACAATAACGATACTTTCGAGTAACATCTTTCATTAATCGTTCAAGTTCTTCTTTGTCTTCATCAGTCCATACCTCAAAGGTTTTATCTTTTAAGAGACTAGCAATTCTTGATAATGTTTTACTATGTTTGCTGAACCATACTGTATATGGTATCTTCATTCCCATAATTTTTGTAGTACAATGTAAAGTCATATATGAAGTGATTGTAGTTGATTGACGTGGTCTTAATATTGTTACTTGTGTATCAAAATGGAAAACATATTTTGGATTATTTGGGGTGTGAACAATAACCATCATATACTTATTCTTTGAATAATTTTTAATTTCAATGTCTTCGTATCTAGTATCAAACACAGCTGTAGGAACGTTTACATTACCATAGTCAAGGGATAATGGATCAATAGAATAACGTGAAGATTCACTTGGTTCACTAGGAACAGATCTTGTGATATCATAATGGTATGACGGTTGTTGTGTCTTAAAGACATTTAAATCAATCTTATGTCCTTTTGTAAATCGGATTAATAAGAAGATAATTACAATAGAACAAATAAAAATAAATGCAATCCCAAGAGCTATTAACAACCAAACCCACCAACCTATTGGCTTAGACCTACATGACCCAATATTAACAGTATCAATTTCATAACCTTCAACACATTGACAATAATCATCACAGTTTGTTCCACCATCACACTCTTCTCCTTCATTTAATATTAAATTACCACATGTCATAATTTTACATCTATGATCACTTGTAACTACATAACCTTTATCACATACACAATTAGGCAGACAATTACTTGTATTATAAATACACATAACTGAGGCATCATTAAAATCTTTATTTTTACATGCAGAACTAACACAATAATGATCTTCTAAGGTGGAATCTTTACACTTACAATCATAGTCACATCCTTCACTTCCAAAGTAACACATATCATCTCCATTAACTGTTGTATTTCCATTATAAAATTTACCATTATAATAACATAACTTTCTGCAATCATCTGCACCATATTGATCATTACATACACACTCTCCACTTTTTACAGAACATTTACCATTCCCTTGTGATTCATAACATTGGTTTGGACAAATAGTAGAAAACCTAACATCAATATCAATTGAATGGTCATTAGTACCTAAAAAGAAATATCTTTTTTTACTCCCTTCTCCATTAATTCTTACACGAAGACCTTGCTCTAGATAAGCGCTTGTAGACCAAATACCCCACCAATCACCAACCCAAAAATCAACACAACTTTGAGTAGAATCTGTTTCAGTAGTATATTCCATAAGATAACAATATCTGTTTTGTATTGTAGTGTCAATAAGAAGACTGTAACTCCCTTCAAAATCAACAGTAAAGAATGCACCTTTCATCAACTTTGTTGGTGCACAAACAGGATTAATATAAACACCAGATGATGATATCGTAAAAGTCTTTAATATTATTGAATTAGAAGTATGTAATTGAGAAATATCTTGTTGAGTTAATTCAAGTTGATTATTAATATAATCATCAGTAAATGCTAATGAAATAGTAATATCAAAGGTAGTCAAGTCTTCAATAGAAACAAATGCATAATATTCTGTTCTAGGTAATGGAACAATTAATTTTCCACCTCCTGGTTGAATTTCTTGACGAGCATAACACTTTTTGTCAGTTGTTGTAGGTGAATCTGGTGTAAGATCAAATGCAACGACAGGACCATCCGATGGAGTTGTAAAGCTAAACACCCCATGAGAGCCTGAACTCTGTCTAGAAGATAGATCAATTTTAATCCAATATGAACCTCTGTATTGAATTTGTTTATTTAAAGGAAAAGAACAAGGACCAGTAGAGTATTGAGTTGATGTAGAAAAATGTAAAGTTATTGGTTGGTTATTTGGTGTAATAGTTTGCATATCTGAAAAGTCTTTTCTTACTTGGCTTGTTTTGTCTGTACAAATTCCATTTTCTAAAACAACTAATCTATTTGTTGGTGTTATAGCCTGATATGGATTTACTGAAATACAAGTAGAACAACTATTATCTGTAGGGTCATACAAATCTTTGCATGAAGAACATGTTTCATTAGCAATACATTTTACACAACCTGTTCCACTACACGTTTGGCTTAATACTAACAATGGATATCCAATAAAAGAAATGAGTATTATTTGAAACATAGAACGGTTAATTGGTTATTAACAAGTTTTTTTTCACTTTTTAGTTTTTTAATTCTGAGAAAAGAACCAAGTTACTTATGTTATTCTTTCTTTTGTTTCTTAAATTTAATTCCGTCGACATTATTCTTATCTGTTTATCATTTAGTTCTACTCTAATTCTAAATTACCTTTTTTTAGATTGTAATCACAAACCAATATAATACTAAAATCTGATGGGATTTGATTTGTAATAAAAAAATTTTTTTTTCACTCTTTTGGTCAAATCAGTGAAAAACTTCTTCAAATTTTCTTTCTTCTTGTCACTTATCCAATAATTCCCTCATCTGAAGAATATCTTATTGCTCATAAACATCATAAAAAACAAATCAATAAAAATTACAATTAGTTAATATTCATTTCTTTTTTTGTTGTGTATTGCCAATAGGTACTTCTAACAATACAATATCCTATATCGTATGAATATGAATATGAAAAGTGTTTTAAAAAACATAAAAAATGTCTTCACTTAATGTATCATGTTATATCCATTTCACAACTTCATTTTAATTATTATTTTAATACTGTCTAACCAAAATGAATTAACTAAAAAATTATTGATAAGAAGAATTAATAACACTAATTTTTATTTTGTTTTTATTTAATTTTTGTTAATTGAAAAAATAAAAGTTGTGTTGTTTCGTATATTAATAAATCCTCTATCACATCATTATTGACTGAATATCATTTATTAATCAAGTTTCATGAAATTTATTTATTGTTTAAGTCACTAAAATCAAAATATTTATTTTTTATATTTAGAAAGTTTACATACAAAATAAAATTTGCATTTATGATATTATCTTGACTTAAAGAATATAATTTACTTAATTAATTACTTTTTATTTATAAATACTATTTTTTTATAACAACAAAAATTTTTGATTAATATTCACGAAAACAAGATTATTTATTCCTTTATAATTGATTGTATATCAGAAATTATTTATTTTTCATAAACTATTCTTTTGTCAAAATTATAATCTTCGGTAATATAAAACATATCAACAGTATTTGTAGCAATTATCAAACACTTCTAAAAAGTATTGTTTTATATTATTTGATTGATTGCCCCAATTATTTTAATGAATATAAAAATTTAGATAACATATACAGTATTATTTCGAATGATATTTATTTTCTATTACAAATTACCAATCAATCATAATTTTAATGTCAACACAATAAAATATTGTTAAATAGTGATAATCAGTTGTAACTTAATGAAATGTAAAGAATGTAAATAAATGTTGTTTAAATAAAAAACACAATAAGAAATATTTTTTAAGAATAATTACTTAATTATTCTTGTTTAATTTCATTTTGTTGTTTCTTAGCAATCATAGTCTCTTTAATTTTATTACATAAGCGTTTCAATAAAAGGATTAAGTTTAAGAATAATTTCAAAGATGAGACAATACCTCTCCAATAACTAAAGACATAAATTAACATTGTAGTAGTATAGAAGATAACAAGTGAAATTTCATCTAATGAATTAACTAAATAACGAATAAAATAAAATGTATATTTCCAAGGTAAAAATGGAAGGCTCACAATAAATGAAGTAGTTGGAATTCTTTCTGAGAACCAGTCCATTAATAATAAAAGTTCATTTTGTAAACGAGTTAACCCACCAGTCTTTCTATCAATAAAATTATATAACTTAGCAAATAATACTAAAAACATTAACGTGTTCATTACTGTTGTTAAAAAGTTTAATACTTGTCTCATATGTTTTGAATAAATTTTTACAAATGGATATTCCATTTGATAATGATTTGGATGTGGTAATTTACTTAATTTATGTTCATAAATAAAATTTTCTAATTCAAAGAAATCTTTTCTTTCAAAATAAAAGTAGACACATCGTAAATTATGTGACTTTACTAATTGTCTTTCTTCTAATTCAATAAAGAATTTACCATCTTTATAAATACGATACTCTAATGACAGTGCAGTAACATTTTTCCATGCGACTTTAAGATCCTCTCCTTTTAAATGAGCAATCCAATATTCATCATTATATTCAAATATTCCAGTAGAATGATAAATACTATCTTTAATAAAAGTAAATTGGTGTGTCATTAAATTGTTTTAACTGTTCAATTTTTAAGATTAAAAGATGATTGATAAAAATTTGGAATATATAACATAATTTATTTCATAAACAGAACTAATGAACTAAAAAAAATAAATGGAATCAAGAAAAGACCAAGTTATTCAGAAACTAATTGAAAAGAATTATTATGATGAAGTAAAAAAAATGTATAATAAATTTTTTTTGTATCTTAATGAAGAAGAAATTGATAAAGAAAAAATAGAAGAATTAATAGAAAATCCCATGTATTTATGTTATGAAACAAATATTGAAATGGAATATATTGAGTCATGTGTTTGTGATAAAATGAATAAAAAAGAAATTGAAGAATATCATACACTGAATTGTATTTTTAATTCAAATAATGAAAGAATAAAAACATATTGTAGAATTAATTATTGTATTAATCATCAATTAAATGAAGAATTAATAACAATAATTAATGAAAAATTAGGATGTAAAGAAGGAGAATATTATGAGTATTATACAGTTTGTGAAAAATATATAGAAAGAAAACTTATTCAATTTTTTCAAAATAATCGAAACATCATTTTAAAAATTAATAAATATGGATGGTATTTATTATTAAAAAATATTAACGATGAAATGATTGAAAGTGTTATTGAACTATGGATAAATAGTAAAGACAATGAAATAAATAATGTAGAAATAATGAAAGATAGATTAAGAAAATTAAAACGAAGTGATAAAAACAAAATTTTAAAAGATTATATTAAAAATATATCAAAAGAAAATGAAACAAAAGAAGAAATGATGAATAGAATAATTCAATTTAATGAAGAAATAAAAGAAGGAAATACTACGACTATGTGTATTAAAGATTCACTAAATACTCATTTTAGAAAAATTGATAATAATGAAGTAATAATTGTAACAAAAGAAACACAAAAAACTAGAAATGAAACAATTCAAAAACTTATTTCAGAACGAGGAATTTTTTATCTTAATTCAATTGTAACAAAAGAAGAATTTGAAATGATGGAAAGAAAATATCAAAAAATATCAAATGCATTAAATAATATTTATTTCAGTAAAAGTATCATTGAAATAAGTACAAAAGAATTATATGAAATAAGTGAATATATTGAAAATGAAAGTCAATTAATTGAAGAAATAAGTGAAGAAAATAGTTATTCAACAGAAGATAGAATTATGTTTATTGATGCATTAAGTCAAAATATATTAAGTTATGACATTTGTATTTTAATTAATAAATTTAGTGATGAAAGAAAAAACTTTATTCAAAAACAACTAGAAAGAATAGGAAAAGTTATTAATAATATTATTCCAATTCCAATCAAAGATAAAATAGTTATTCAACATTGTTTATATGGAATTAAATATCAAATAAGTAAAGAACAAACAAAAGAAAGTTTAGAAATATTAAAAGAAATAGAAAAAGAAATTAAAATAGAATTTCATACAGAAGAAATGATAGTTTTATTAACAATATTATTAAAAATAATACCAATAAATAATATTATTGAAATAATTCTATTTCATGAAAAAGAAATGAAAGAAAATGAAATTAATATTATTATTGATAGTATTAATGATTATTATGATAATGATAAAAGAAAATGTATTTTTAAATTAAATCAAATACAAACAAAATTTAATTTTATTATATTATTAAAATTTCTTATAGTAAAAGAAATTATTGAAGATTATAAAGAAGAAATGAAAACAGATTTAAAAGATGCATTAAATTATTTAAAATATTTAAATGATGAATATTCAAAAAAAATTAATAGAAATGAATTTACACAACAAGTTATGAATATTATTTGTTATAATGAAATAATGAAACATAAAGAATTAATTAAAAGTATGAAATATTTAAAGTTATTTGAAATAAAAAAATTTAATGTATTTCCAAGAATTATTAATTCTCAACAACAAAAAGAAGAAATTCTTTTAAATGAAAACTCTCTTATGGTTCTTGCTAAAAATAATGTATTTCAAACATTTCAACAAATTAATTTATTAAATACAAACTACCAAAATATAACTAAAAACTATGACATTAAAGTTCTTATTAATATTATTCTTCGATATCAAGGAATTAAATTAACTAATGGTAAAAAAGTAGAAATGAACTTATTTGAAAAAGAAAGAATAGTTAAAGAGTTAATTAAAATTAGTCAAAGAAGTAGACATCAAAATTCATGGAAAGCTGTTTATAGAATACATGAAATTTGTGGACTTCTTCCTATTCAAATATGTAATTAATTTTAATTTTCAGTAAGTAATTTATGTTGTACTGATAACCAATTTTCAAAACAACATAAATATGGACCATATGAACTTAAATAACAAATGAGATAATCAGATAATGAAGATTCAATAATTGGAAGTAATGAAGATGAAGTACCACAAGGATGAATAAAAAACATATAATAATCTTCTATTAATGGATGTTCATTCATTGTAATAAAAAGATTTAATGGATTATTATTATCACATTTTTCAATTTTACTAAGTTGTGATAATAAAGTTGTTGCTTGTTCTAATTGAGTAATATATTTATTTTCCTTTTTATCAAATAAAGATACTCCAAATTGAGGTACTTGATAAGATGTATTATAAAGAATATGATGAATAAAATAATATCTTTTTTGTTGTATTTGACAAATAGTATCATCTTTTTCTTCATAAATTTCTTCATTACAATGATTATCCTCAATTTGAAGTAATTCACCTAATTCACATGAATGAATAATAAATCCTCTTGTATCCCATTTCCATTGATATTTTCCTAATTTATTAAGACAATTAACAATTTTTTTAGCTTGAAAAATAAATTCTTTCTTATTGAAGTTCATAATTTCAGTTTTGATAATATTATAATAATATAATGAACTATTAAAATATTAAGTAAACCCTAATTTACTGAAAAAATACATTTACAATTAATGCAATTTGAATCATCAGATTTTGCTGAAATAACACCAAAAGATGTAGAAGCAAATAAACCAATTGTTCGTATTTATAATCTTCCAAGAATTCTTGATGAACGTGATTTAAGAAGATATTTCTCTCAATATGGAGAATTAAAAGGATTAGCTATTAAGAAAACTGATTATGGAGTAAGTAAAGGAACTTGTGTTGTTAAATTTGCTGATTGTGTAGTAGCACGTATAGTAGCAGAAACATTAAATAATCATATTTTAGAAAATCGATTACTTCGTACAGAATTATGTGAAGCAAAAAAACATAGATTTCATTCAACTTATCCAGTTTCAAAAGAACAAAGAAGAAAAGAACCACAAATCAAAGTTATTACTCAAAAAGATGTTGATGAAAGAAAAGCTTCAAATGAAGAATTAAGAAAGAAATTAGAAGAACTTCATATTGATTTTGATTTCCCACAATAATAAATGATTGAAAAATATATTTTGATATTTTAATTTGATTGGTTTGTAAGAAATTAATATAAAGAAGAAACATAACTATTTGAAATTCTTTCTTTTTTTCTTTTCATTTATTATTTAATAAATTCATTTAAAAAAAGTATTTTAAATTAACTTTTTCATTCATATTCAAGCAGTTGAAACTCTTTTTCTTGCTTGATCATTTTTCATTTTCATAGCTTGTCTAATACCATCTAATTCTAATTCTAATTTTTGAATTTCTACTCTCCTATCTGCTTGAACTTGTGGATCACTTTCAAATTTAAGTGCATTTTCTTTTTCTTGTATTTTTAATAATAAGTGTTGTTCTTTTTTTTGAATATCATAAGTATTAGGATTTCCTGGAACAATTGATGTTTTTGGAATTGGAGTTACTTTTGGTAAGTGTTGAATATAATTTGACTTAGATGATTTTAATGGTACTTCATTAACTCTTGTTGGTTTTTCTGTTTTATCACAAAATTTATATGCAACAATACAACAAATAATAAAACATACTACGAAGGTTATTGAAGTATGTAATATTTGAACTTCAGGTTCACTTTGTCCATAAACAAAATAAGTTGGAATATATATAATAAAACAAAGTATTGACAATAATATAACTTTACAGAATGTTAGAATTTTCATTGTTCTATTTAGTTTCTTTTTTTATTTATTTTTAAGTTCTGCCCTTTTTTATAATATAATATTTTGTTTTTCATTCAAAAATATTTATTCTTTATTACTTAATAATTAATCTTCTTATAACCTCATTTATTATATTTCTAAAAAAAATTTAATTAGTTATTTAAACTAAATAATAAATCATTCAAAAAAGTCAATAAAAAGTGAAATTTATTACACTTTCATTATTTCTTTTTATTTATTTTCTTATTAATTTGATATAAAAAATAACCAATAAAAATTAAAGAAATAACACAATAAGGGTCTACTTAAGCTTGTTGGGCAAGTTTAGCAAGTTT